ATGAGCCCCGAAAGTTGCAGCGGTGTGCAAGCTGTGACCACGAAAAATGACTGGGAAATGTACTGGTGGCTTTTAAGTTTAAAGTTTAAACCACCAGTACTTCCTAATGTGGTGCCCGTTAAAAAGGCACAGTTTTAGGAAACGTACAGGCCACTACAGGAGCGCCCAAATTCATCCGAGTAGAAACGTTTCTACTCTATTTTTTTGGGCACAGTTTTAGGAAACGTACAGGTAACAGGCCACTACAGGAGCGCCCAAATTCATCCGAGTAGAAGCGTTGCTACTCTATATTTTCCCGCGGCCCCGATAGCTGGGTCGAGTACTGGTGGCTTTAATGGAAGGAAAAATAAAAGTAGAAAACTCATCTTTTATATGCTCTGTACACCGCAATTTCTGTGTTGGGGGTTCATTTGTTAGGGGTCCGATGGTTCCAACTTGCATGCAAAGATTGTGTTTGAAATTGCATGCATGCAAAGATTGTGTTTGAAATTGCATGCATGCAAAGATTGTGTTTGGAATTGCATGCATGCAAAGATTGTGTTTGAAATTGCATGCATGCAAAGATTGTGTTTGAAATTGCATGCATGCAAAGATTGTGTTTGAAATTGCATGCATGCAAAGATTGTGTTTGAAAGTGCATGCAAGTCCTTCGGGACATCCGTTAAAATTGGAACGCTACAGAGAGAGAAGATTAGCATGGCCCCTTCGCAAGGATGACACGCATAAATAGAGGGGAAAAAAAAAAAAAAAAAAAAAAAAGAACTCTCATGCAAAGATTGTGTTTGAAATTGCATGCAAAGATTGTGTTTGAAATTGCATGCAAGTCCTTCGGNAAAAAAAAAAAAAAAAAAAAAGAACTCTCATGCAAAGATTGTGTTTGAAATTGCATGCAAAGATTGTATTTTTTTTTTACTTTGAACTTGTTGCATGCAACGATGTGTTTAAAATCGTTGCTGGCTCTCCAAGAGCAACCAAAGGAAAACATGAGGATGGCCATGATGACCGATTATCGCCGGTGCCAGAGAGGAACGCAGGGATGGGTGAGACCCGATTTTGGTGCAGATGGGGTCCGTAAACTGCCCTCCTTTTTTTTTTTCTTATTTTTTGGACAGCAAACACTCTCTGAGAGTACTAAGGAAGGGGTGCTGATAGGAGCAGACACCTCTAGTACTGTCAGGGAGGCCGGATGTATTATTGGTGGGGAGCATCACCTGCTGGAAAACGGGTTCAGCGTCCCTTGGACCGTATACGGCCCTAATGGATCGTAACGTACAATCTGGCCTGATCCAGTTTGGCCCGCAGATGCAACACCCGACACTCGTAGCCCCATCAGGAGCTGAGTTATGAATAGTGTACACTACCGGTAGTTACATTGGGAATCGGCTGAGTAGTGGGGTTTAGATAAAGGGGGGGTAGTGTACTATATTAAAGCATAGGCACAAGGACTCACAGGTGGTGGGGGGGAGGAGTGCAAAGCTGGGAATGCAGAAAAGGTAGCATGGGTAATAAGTTCTGGCAAGGACAGGACGATGCCCCGAAGAACAGGAAATACGGTACACAACGGTCGCGGAACATATGATTTCAAAAGTTTGAAACACGGAAATACGGACTCACAGGGGAGCGGGCGAGAAGCGGGGGTAGAACTAATGAGAAGGGGCAGAACGATAGGCAAACCACGGAATGTCTTGGCATAGCAAAGATAGCCCTATAGCATGCCATATGGGAAAGGTTCTGAGAAAATAGGGATTATGGGGAATAGGCTGTAGACAAAGCTCCAGACAAAGCCTCAATCCTGGTGGTTCTCTCACCACCACTGGGATAGAGGCCTTGCACAAGGGCCTAGAAAAAATAAAAAAAAGGCTATAGACAAAGCTGAGACATGTAAGGTAAAGGCAAATTGGGGTACCCATGGATGGGCTCACTGGAAACGCACTATGTGCATGCGGGCCAAGGTGACTACTAGACCCCCTGCCCTACGCACTATGTGCATGCGGGCCAAGGTGACTACTAGACCCCCTGCCC